GAACTTCCTCCTAAGACCTGGCTTCGTTTGGGGCTGAATCAGGGGAAATTTGTGGGTGGAAGGCTTTTCAAGTTATCAGATGCTGTCCATGGGGGAGCACTGAGCAGCCTGGACAGATTTCAGGTAGGGCAGGCAATGTGGGGCTTCCTATCGGTGTCACACATTTGTATTAATCAAAGAAGCTATTTATCTTCTCAAAAAGCCACTAAAATCCCTGCTTTGTGTCAGTCACCGTGCTAGAAACTCAGCTGACAATCTCAAATAGGAAGATGTAGGTCTCTTATTCCAATGGGACAGACAACAAAACATGTAATTATTGGGTAGCTATTGTTGTATAGCAATATACTACCTGAACACCCACCCCCAGTTTAGAGAACCATTTATTTTCAGCTCATCTGCAGGTCAAATAATCTGAGTAGAACTTTTCTGGGCTTGCACAAGAAACTCTACCAAGCCATAAATCTGCTGGTTTATCTCAGAGGAACAGCAAGCTAGTCCGCAAAAATTCCTTTGAAAACACTGATAGGGATTCTAGAGAAAACAAAATGGACCATTGAGGGCCTCTTGGTGCCGAGGCTTATAGGCAGCACTCCGTTACTTCTACCTTATTCTGTCAGCCACACCAAACTTATGAGACCAACCCAAAAGCCCCGGGTAAAGGTATAGATGCAGTAGGAAGAAGGGTCACTGTTACTGTCACTGTCCTCCCGTTGTTCATCGATTTTCTCAAGCGGGCCCAGTAACGTCTCCATCGTGAGACTTTGTTGTTACTGTGTTTGGCATATCGAATACGTCATGGGTAGCTTGCCAGGCTTTGCTGTGCTGGCGAGATACTCTCGGTAGCTTGCCGGGCTCTCCGAGAGGGGTGGAGGAATCGAACTCGGGTTGGCCATGTTGGCTGCATGCAAGGCAAATGCCTTACCCGCTGTGCTATCACTCCAGCCCAGGAGGAAGGGTGGAAACAATAATGTTGTGAGCACTTACATTATAGGCCAAGAAGGGACTTACAGCAGGTGCATGGCCAAGAGTGGTCAGAATGCTCCTTTAGCATGACTGAGCACTGTGAAATGGCACATTGCTGTGACCGTGGGTGTTTCCAACAGTCCATCCTATTGGATGGGTAGTGGGGTGTTGCGCCAGAATCATGGACGAATGCACTGCCACAGTTCCTCCTTCCATGCAAGAAGAGGCCAGTTGCCAAGTTGCCATGTCTCAGGACATCTGTCTGACCTGTGGCTGTTCCATTCAAGTGCCTCACACCAGTAGCTCATTCAAGGGCATAAAAGTTTGGAGGAATTACTGCTGTCAGTTTGAATTCCAGTTACCTGTTCTCTATACACAAATATCCATCATGTGTTTGTATACATAACACATGCTCATAGCTACCTCCACACACTCATAAATGACGCTTCCATTCCCATTGGATAATGAAGAAGCAGAGTCAGCCCCACACCCCAGGGACAAGTTCCAGGCTATTGGCTGAGTCCATCTGGCCCAAGACCAAATGGAATGCTATGCCTGAAAAGGGAATGAGAGTGAACTGTGTCTTCAGGAGATGCAGCCGGCCCTCAGCTGCCTGAGGATGGTCAAGGTTGAGATGGGGGAATTGTTTGCCTCTGTATTTACTTGCCACCAATCAATCCATCAGTGACCCCATTTTGTGAGCTGAAGGGAAAATAAGGCAAAACAAACAATAATGTGTTTCTTCTTCAGAGGACTCTTATCACTGGAGTGAATTTTTTTTCTTTACCTTTATTGAACAAAATTAGGTGTAATTTTGTTCAATATAATTTGGCAAATGGAGATTCACCATGAGTAGCGGTACATTTGGGGTAGTGGGCAAAATAACATGTGTTTGTACAAGAACCTTTGGAGTGTTAATATATTGCTATTCCCATTTTATTAGGGAAAAGGTGAGGCTTGTGAATTAAAAGTAACTTAAAAAATACGAGTGAAATCCCAATCCACGTCTCACCTTGCTGACAAATTTTTGCCACTTTCCTGGCATTCATGAACTTCTAGGAATAATCTCAAGACCTGAGAAGACTCCTTAAGTCAATCTTTTTGGTTCCTAAGACCCAAGCTGTGGGGACTGGGGTAGGAAGGACTAAGAACTGACCCTTTAAGGTTTGCCTGCATGGATTTAGGAGAGCGTGGCTGGAGCCACTCTACCTGCTAGAGACCAACTCAGGATAAATGTCCAGGCCCTGGAAGGGAGAGTCAGGATTTCAGCAGACAGACCCACAGTTGGGTTCACTAGCACCATCCTGGGTATCCTGGATGCCAGCCCCCTGTTGAGGTGTTGCCCTAGATTCATCTCTGGATGAGGAAACTGAGCTGAGACAGACACTTGCACCTGGGCAACTGTTTCTGCCTCACACTGGGGATTTTCATCCTGGAGGGATTGGCCAACAAAATGTGCCATTGAGTCACCTGGCACAGTGGCCTGACTCTAAAGAGCAAAGTCTAGAGCACCATGTTGGCCCACTGCGGCCCTGGGCTCACCTCAACTTGGATCGCAATCACCATTGTTTGCCTCTGCCCTCTGCCATTTTGTTCTCTCAGTGTTGCTGTGTTTCTCCCGCAAGGCTGCCGGAGAAGCTCCTTCACAGGCCACCATCCTGGTGCCTGTCACCGAGGAACTGATCTGCCTCCCGTTGGTCCTTGACTGGGGCAGCCTTGAAGTGGCACAGGCCACTTTTGCTCGTAGCTCAATGGTCAGAACGAGTCACATCATTTCATTCTGGGTGTGTTGCAGACAGCAGTGCAACCCTGCCGTGATCCAAGAGGGTGGGAAATCTGGAACTTTCTGATGAACAGTGACAAGGGTGATGAAATGGGGAACCATGACAAGGAGGCCACTACAATCTGTCATGCTGCCCTCTACTTAAGAAAAACGCAACCTTGAACATGTCTGAAGATGCTCTTCATGCCTGGTGCTTGCATGTGGAAATGCAACTAGAACATCATCTTTCTGCCATCCTTACCCCACACAGTGCCTTATTGTCTCTAGAGTGACCCTCTTGATCTCTTGCTTGGTTTTCGTGTCCGCTCAATCCATGAGCTGGCTGTGATTGGTAAGGTAGTTCCTGTCCTGGAATGGGGGAAATGTGTTGGTTCGGAATGCTGTGATATGCATCTATTCAATTTACCGTTTCACTTTTTTTGGTGGGCTATCATGGATCTGCATCTCCACACTCACTCCCAGCAGACACACTCTGGTCTGTCTCACACCAGCTCCACACTTCTGAGAGGCCTGGGGGAATGCCTCAAGGGGAGGGGACAGTGGAGAGCCCCAGAGCCTGAAAGCAACAGCATCACCTTGCGGAACTTCTCTGGGGCCTGTTTGGCCATTATTGCCATCAGGGTGGCCAGTTCTGGCTGAAGCAGCCACATCACAATACTGCATTTTTATCAATGACCTTTGGACCATATAGTTGACATTGGTAGGGCGTTTGCCTTGCACGCAGCCAACATGGCCGACTGGAGTTCGATTCCTCCACCCCTCTCGAGAGCCCGGCAAGCTACCGAGAGTATCTCGCCTGCACGGCAGAGCCTGGCGAGCTCCCCGTGACGTATTCGATATGCCAAACACAGTAACAACAAAGTCTCCAATGGAGACGTTACTGGGCCCGCTCGAGCAGACTCGATGAACAACGGGAGGACCGTGACTGTGACCGTGTTTTTTTTTTTTAAATGCCCCAGTTTACATATATTGAGTGTTTAATTTGTCACTTCTTACCACAAGCTTATAGGTTTAGTATAAGTTGTGTTTTGTTTAGCCTCATTTAACACAGAGGCTGGGAGGGCTGGAGTGACTTATGAGTCAGTGACAAAGCAGGGAGCCAAACTCAGGCAACGTGGCTCAGACTCGGCCCTGCCCACTCTCGGCTGCTTCTCGAATGAGCCTGGCTGTGGACTTACCACACTCTATGCCCATCTTCACTGTCCAGACCCGGGTGCTAGAGGCTGGCTGGGAATACAGCCCCCACCATTTGGGTCTCGTGTGGCCCATTGCTCAGAACGCGAATATTTTAGATGTCAAATGGTTATGACAGTATTGGGTGCCAGCTGGAATTTTGTCAGAAGACGTTTGCAGACATGTTTTGAGAATCCGGAACGTGTTCCTCTTATTGCTTTGGTGGCCAGGAAACTCAATCCAGACCCAAGCAAGAGACAGTCAAGTTTGGGCGTAGTGGTTCTGTTTTCTGAAAATTTTCTCCTGGTTCATAATAAATCCTCTGATACCAATGGCCTTTATTCGGGTACAAACACCTTAAGATCTTCATAGAGCAGAATTGCAAGGGAATGACAAAATAAGGGACGTTCTGACACAATTCTAGATTCCTGCTGGGCGAGTGAGACCCAGATCCTGGTGTTCCCCCATGCCCCAGGGGGCCCCTCTCACAGGTGCCTGGGGCAGTGGCTGCTGTTCCTGTCGGTCCTGGGGAAACTGGGAGCCTGTGAAAGATTTTACCCATATAGGAAAAAAAAAGTTTCCCCAAATCATGGCCCAACTTCAGCTCCAGAGGCACACGGGAACACCCTCCTGCTTACTCTCCCCCGAGCAGTTAATAAAATCTATTACCCCTTGATGGATTTTTTTTCCCTGCCAGCTAGGATTGATCTGTCATCTTTGTGATTTGTGAGATGGCACTGGGCACCACCAAGCACCTCATGATCTGATCTGGGCCACATTGGAAAGGAAAAGGGGGAAAGAAAAAAGGCAAAAAAAAAATTATTCAACAAAGTCTTTCGAGGTCCGAAAGGGCGGGCAGGGCTTGGGGTCATTTTATTGGATTTATTGGAAATAAAGTGGGTCTCGGTAACATTCTGAGCGAGAGAATCTTTGTTTGCGCGGGGCCCAAAGTGGTGGGTGGTTGGCCTTGGTGCCATTCCATTCTCCGGGAAAGTGGAGGGGCCGGCGTGGGCCGGCGTAAGGAAGGCGAGGTAGGGGCCGGGGGTCCACACCCGCCCGCGGGCTGGCGGCTCGGCTGGCAGGGGCTGGTCGGCGCGCGGTGCTCTGCCCGCATCTGCCATGCAAAGCGAGGGAGCGTTATGAAGGAATCCGTCTTGTAAAGCCATTGGTCCTGGTCATCAGCCTCTACCCAATGCTTTCGTGATGCTGCCGCTGATCTATTTGGGAAGTTGGCTGGCTGGCGAGGCAGAGCCTCTCCTCAAAGCCTGGCTCCCACGGAAAATATGCTCAGTGCAGCCGCGTGCATGAATGAAAACGCCGCCGGGCGCTTCTAGTCGGGCACGATGCAGCCGCCAACTCCGCTCGTCCTGTGCGTCCTCCTGTCCCAGGTAGGGGAGCGGCGCGGCCGGGCGCACCCCGCGCCCCGATTCTGCGTCCCGGGCGCCGGGCGGGGGCCGGCCGCGGTTGGCGTGGGGGGAGGCTGCCGGGGGTCGCGGGATGCCGGGGCGCGGCCGCGACACAGCCCGGGGCCGGGGCCGGGAGAGAGGGAGAGGGGGGAGGTCGTGCCAGCCCCGAGACGGTGGGGGGCGGGGTGGGTGTGTGTGTGCGTGTGTGTGTGTGTGCGTGTGTGTTTGTGCGCGCGTGTGTGCGCGCGCGTGTGTGTGTGTGCGCGCGTGTGTATGTGTGTGTGCATGTGTGTGTGTGTATGTGTGTGTGTGTGTGTGCACGCTAGACCGAGGAGCAGAGAGCTCCGGGGGGCCCCGGAGGGCTCCGGGGGGCTCCGGAGTCTTTTTTTTATTTTTTATTTTTTTGCAGCAGGGGCGACCTCCTCGCCCGCACCGAGCCGGGTAACTTTGACTCGCCCGGTGGCGAGGCTGCTGCGTCCGGGGAGACCGGGTGGGCGGCGAGCCGGGCGGTCCGGGCGGGCGGTCGGGACTGCGGGCTGCGGGGCGAGAGGCCGGCCCGGCCCCGCCGCGGCCAGGGGCGCCCTGCAACGCCGCAGCCCCCCGGCCGCGGCCAGCCGCGCGGGGTCCCCTCCCCGGGCGCGCCCCTCCGGCCGGCCGCACGCAGGCCCCAGCCCCCGCGCCCCCTTTGTCCAGCCAGCGGGAGCTCCAGCCCCGAGCCCGGCCGCCGCCGCCGCCGCCGGTTGCCCGGGCGGGCGCCGGGCGCGGAGAAAAGTTCAAGCGTTGCCCAGCGGCTGCAGCTGCCCGTTAACCCTCGGAGCGCCGCAGCGCCGGGGGAGGGCCCCGGACCCCCCTCTGCACCCCGGGGAGCGGGCAAAGTTTGTGTGCGGGGACCCCGCGGGCCCGGGGGAACGCGCCGGAGGGGACTGGCGGCGACGGGCGCGCCTCGCCCTGCTCGGGGGCCTGTTTTTCCCCGGGAACACTTGGACCCAGTCCCCAGGGGCCTCCCTGGCAGCCGCGGGGACTCCAGATGAGCTGGAAGCCGACAAGTGGGTGGGTACGATGAAGGCAGGGCCGGGCAGAAGGCGGGACGGGGACAGGGAGTGAGTGAAGGCTGCTGAGGTCCCTGCCAGGCGTCCCCGGGCCTCCTGGGGCAGGAACACTTGTGCGAGCTTGTGGGAGCAGCTGGCGCCCCGGCGACTCCGGGCACCCACCGGGTGGCACGGCCCTCCCGGGGAGACCAGCGCTGCTTCAATGACGGGGTTGGATTCTGCAATGGGCCAGGCGCCCAGTGACCATGGAGATGGCTGGGGGAGAGAGCCAAGGGGACAGAGCGAGGGGCCAGGCTGCTGGCCTCCTGCCCTGGACACACCGTCCAGGACCTCCTGCTTAGAACTCTTCCACCAGGCGTTGCTGACCGGTCCTCCGGGGATGCCTGTCACCGTTAGTCCCCCTATCAGCCCTGTCTGTGCCCGGAACAGGTCCCAGCCCTCCTGGCCCGGATGGCCAGGCCCATGTTAGCTCCTCGGTGTAGACTGCCCTTCTGCCTCTATCAGGGTACAGCCCTGGGCAAGTCGCTTCAGCTCTGAATCAAGGCTCCTGGCACCTCCCTGGGACTGCTGGGCAGATCAGCTGGCACTCAACAGGATGCCCCAGGGAGCGCAGGTCTGGAGCAATTCCCCCTGGCCCGGATGGCACAACCCTTTTGCTCTCTTGGCGTGTTTCGACTTCAGTTAGGATTCCAGATATGCCTCCCTTAGCGCAGGCTAGACCACGTACCATCACCCCACAGTCGCTCTGAGCCAGGGGCACCTCCTGTGCTACCTTCTGCAAAGTCAGGAAGGTCCCCTGGGGCAGGGTGATGGGGGGCTCTGTGCTCTCCGGGGGCTGCTGTAGACTGGGGAGGCGGAGGCTTCTCTGAGATTGAATTGCCTGCCCGGGAGGCTTATTTCTCCGTTAGATTGTTCTGCATAATCAGAGCAAATGTCCACATTAGGTCGGTAATTGATATCCTGGTAGCAGTAGCACCTTACAGACAAATCATTTCGATGCAATTCAGTTAACCAGCAAGAGATTCCAGGGCACACCTCTGTGTGCAATAGAGAGAACCGGGGGAAGTCTGGGAGCTTTTGAGATAAGCAAAACAAAACTTTCCTGAGGCGGAGACGGTACAAAAGCAAAAAGAGCAAAACAATGTAATAAAGCCAATTAGTCACTTGGTCCTGGTGGTGTTCAGACAAGCATGCGTGTGTTTTTCCACCACAGTTGTAATGCGCAGGGCCTGGCTTTGGAAGTCATCAATCTCTGGGAGTTGACCGGCGAGCTTGTTGGTTTGGGCACTTGGGTGGGTGGGGGAGACGCATTCGAGGCAACAATGGTCGGAAGTTGGCAGCGTTGAGGGGCTCTCACCTCTCTTTCCCCTGGAACATTTTGGGGGAAACCAACCCAGAAGTGGCTTTTGGAGTTTGACTTTTGTACATAATGAATGTGAAACAAATCAAGAAAGGTGTGAGCAAGAAATTGCACTGTAAATATGATTTCCCTTGTGTTTGGGTATCCCTTCCAACTAGCCAAAGTTCAAACAATGAATGAGTAATCCCCCAAGAATGAGCAATTTAGGGAGTGGATCAGGTTTGGAGTTAGTCACTTGAAATGACTAAAAATATTCCATGAAATTCTCAGATTTTTTTTTATAACAGGGAGTTCTCTCTTTGAGTCAGATTTCTGGTTTTCAGGGTTTCCAGTGATGACCAGCATCTTCCAAAGCCCCTTCAACTTCACACATGACATTTTAAGCGCACGGTCTGTTTAAGAACCTTTCTGATTAGGAGAATCTAAAAGTTGCAGAGAGCGTCCCCTTCTGAGGCGGGTTGAACATCTAATAGTCTCTAAGATTTCCAAAGCACCACAGAACCGTCATCTAAGTGGGGAAAGGAATCAAAGTGGCAGAGCTCACATTTCTCCGCATTATTTTTAGAAAGTCGCGAAAGATATTTATTAAACTGCAAGGCTGAATATGTGACCCAGAATTTCTGTAATGCCACCGACTCTAGTAAAAGCCCTAACAGTCATCTTACTAATCTTTTCTGCCTTGCCTGCTTCTCTTCTCTTTTCTATCTTTAGCCCATGGGTTTTCCATTAAGTATAATCTATTTCCTTCTAGAATTATCCTCCACATGTTGCAGTGAAATTGCCCAACAAATCAACGTACCAAATAAGGGCATTACCTAAAAGCTCCAGTATTGGGGCGTGTGCGATGGGTCTCAATCTAAAGTCCACCTTTAGGTAAAAGTACAGCGAGGCCTCTGAGAAAATCCTTTAGTTTTCCCTCTCTTTCCAAAGTGGCAGTTGCTTATGAGATTAAGTATTTCCTAGTTCGGAGTTGGAAAGGTAAAACTATGGGTTCAATTCGCATCTGAATGATGGTCAGATTCTCTAAATGGCCAAGAGTAGTTTGTATCTCCTTTCTGTGGTTTGATCATATTTTTATACCTGTTGAAGAATTTCTCCAGAAGAGGGCTCCATCCACAGCATTACAGATTTCTGAGTCTATGACTCATAGTTTAGAGAACTTCAGTGTAGCAGCTCCATCAAAACCAAATAAAATATTCATCTTATTCCCAGTCATTGCTACAAGCTCCCCCAAATGTGAAGCCCTGTTATCCCGCACTAAGTATCTCTCCCTCTTATTGTAGTTGCTTCTGTTCTATTTTATTCTTCGGTGATCCAGCCGCTCTGAGTAGCAGGGAGCAGGGAACGTTTCAAAGACCTTCGTAGACAATGCAGTGTGGAATGTGAGGAAGTTCTGAAATTTCCTGACGTTTGACTTGTTGGATCTAGTTTTCCCCTTGAGGCAGCCGAGAGCAGGCACAGGGTTCTGTGAAAGGAGATCATCTCTCTTAGGTAACTACCCAGAAGAGTGAATCATGAGCCTGATCTGTTTACCCTCCAACACTAGTTGAAAAGGAGAAGGGGAATATCGGTCTGCCATCCAATTACAATAATCATTTGGACAGAATCAAATCAAGTGACCCGTTCTTTTGGCATTGTTTCCGTTGAGTTGTGGGCAAGACGCCCACAAGCCTGGAAGAATTTGACTCTCGTGAAGGATGCTGCCAGGACATTTATTTCCCCATAGCCTGTCCCTTCTGGAGCTGCCCACAGACCTAGTTCTGACTCCCCCACGTGATAAGATTGTGTCAATGATAGTTGGTGAGACCGCAGGGTCCCCGGCACCTGGCTATGTGTTTGGGGTGAAGGGGAAAAGTGAGTTCCTTTTTCTATTTGGTGAAGCAATTAAGGGCACGCGGGTGGAGAAGACATGATATTCCCAAGGCGGGGCTGAATCGGGGTTCGCAGAGAAAGGATCAGATTTTGGCAGCAGCCTGAATGCCAAGATCAGCAGCCCTGAAGTCCATTCTCCCAACTCGGGGGCTCTGGCTTCTGGGCCGAGATAGCAAAGTGGGGGTCAGAGGACTAATGGAACAAGTGCTTTGAAGAAAAGGAAATTGTACATAAAAAAAATTAATTCCTTTCAGCTCTTGGAAAGTCAACGAGCCAGCCGGCCCTACAACTGTATTTCCAAATGATGGCCTTATACTACAGCTGAACCACTTACTGCCCCCTTCGGGAAGACACATCTCTATAGTTTAGCGCACTCTCTACTGCACCCTCCTTGTACCCATTGTACTCGATTATTTCACAACCAATTGCTTTGGAATATCTGCCTTCACAAACGTCAAGACTTAAACCGATGCAGTTGGTTAAGAGGCCACATTAACTAACGTCTGAAAGGAAGGAACCAGCCTCTTTTTGGTCCTTCTAATTGTGCTTCAACACTGTACACATTGGAAGAACATAACCAAAGAGACGCATGCTATCCCTAAGAATGTCATTACTGGATCATTGGAGTGTGGGAGGGGCGCTAGAGGAGCCTCGAGCAAGGTAACACCCACATCATTGGCCTATGTAGACTGGTTTCCTGC